TGGCTTTTTCTGCTTATGTGGTGCTGAGGAATTGAACCCAGGGCCTCATGCATGCAAGGCAAGCACTCTACCACTGAGCCACCTTCCCAGCCCAAAAGTCTAGATTTCTCTCTCTCTCTCTCTCTTTTTTTATTGTTGTCAGTTGTGGGGCCTGAATTTTGGGCCTGAGCGTTGTCCTTCAGCTCAAGGTTATCATTCTACCACTTGAGCCACAACAGCCACTTCCAGCTTTTTCTGCTTATGTGGTGCTGAGGAATTGAACCCAGGGCCTCATGCATGCAAGGCAAGCACTCTACTACTGAGCCACCTTCCCAGCCCCAAAATCTAGATTTCTCAGTTCTCTCGATGACTGCACCTGAATCCTCATCTGGCAATGAGCACTCATCTATGGCAGGGAATGTATATGTACCATTAATCTCAGCTGGCTTTTGCTTTAATGTTTAGTGGTACTTTCCTGGAATCCATAAGTGTTTGAGTCTTTCTCTTGCTTCTGTCTTTGTGCCTTATATTCTGTAAATGAAGGAAGAGAGATGTCAGCAAGGTTTTTCTCAACTGTACAGCATTTACCTTCATTGTTTTCTGTCTGTGGTGATTCTTTCTGTGATGCTCTGATTTATGTTGGGTATTACTCAATTCAAGTTGTATAATTTTATCTAGTTATTACATTCCCCTAATAGCTGCAAGGCTATAAGATGATGCCTTTGAAATGTCTAATTGTTGGCAACAGTAGTTATCATGTGAGAGTGCTCACATTGTACTGAACACTGTGTCCTAAGGACCTTTAGTACATCATTTTGTATTCCTTGTAGAACACTGCGTAATCAGTATGGGTCTGGCCACATTGCATTTGAGGAGAGTCAGGCTAAGAAGAAGGGTTGAATAATTTGTCTAAATCACAAACTTCTTAATAGCAGAGATGTGCTTTGATCCTGGAGAGTCTTACTTGCTACATTGGATTAGTAGCTGAGGTGTTTTTTTTTGGTTTTTTTTTGGGGGGGGTCCGGTCGTGGGGCCTGAACTTAGCCTGGGCGCTGTCCCTCAGCTCTTCAGCTCAAGGCTAGCACTCTACCACTTGAGACACAGTCCCACTTCCGGCTTTTTTCTTTTTGCTTATGTGGTACTGAGGAATCGAACCCAGGGCCTCGTGCATGCAAGGCAAGCACTCTACCACTGAGCCACCTTTCCAGCCCAGCTGAGTTGTTTTTTAAAAAATTTTCTACAGGGGCTGGGAAGGTGGCTCAGTGGTAGAGCGCTTGCCTTGCATGCATGAGGCCCTGGGTTCGATTCCCCAGCACCACATAAGCAAAAAAAAGAAACAAAAGCTGGAAGTGGCGCTGTGGCTCAAGTGGTAGAGCACTAGCCTTAAGCTGAAGAGCTGAGGGACAGCGCCCAGGCCCAGAGTTCAGGCCCCACGACCGGACCCAATAAAAAAATATTTTTTTTTCTACAATTTTGTGGATTATATCTAAGGCTTTGTTCATGTTAGCCAAGTGCTCTGCCACGAGCTACATTTCCAGCCCTTGATTTTTTTCAGACAGGATTCTACTATGTAGCCTACTATGTAGCTGGTCTAGAACTTGCCATGTAGCCCGGGCTGACCTCAAACTCACGATCTTTCTGCCTTCTAAGTTCTGAAGTAACAGGTGTAAACCACCAAGCTGGGTTCTTTAAAAGAATATTTTTTTCAGAGCTGAGGGTTGGCTCAGTGGTAGAGTAGCACACGCTAAGCATTCATCAGGCCTCCAGTTCAATGATATCACAGCACAGATACAAAAGAGCTGTTTTAGTTGGTGCTGGTAGCTCATGCCTGTACTTCTAGCCTCTCAGGAGGCTGAGATCTAAGGATTATGATTCACAGCCCTAAGTAGAAAAGTCTTAGAGACTCTAATCTCCAATTAACCAGCAAAAAGCCAGAAAGTATGGAGGTGTGAAATCAGCTTTGAGTGAAAAAATCCAAGTTAGAGTATGCGGCCCTGAATTCAAGCCCCAGTACTGGCACAAAAAATTATTTTATTTTTTTGTTGGTCATGTAACTTTGAACTCAGGGCCTGGGCGCTATCCCTGAGCTATTTTTGTTCAACTAGTGCTCTAACACTTTGACCCATAGCTCTACTTCTAGTCTTCTGGTTGCTAACTGGAGACAAGAGTCTCACAGACTGGTTTTGAACCGCTATCCTCAGATCTCAGCCTCCTGAGTAGCTAGGATTATAGGTGCTCAGCCTAATTTTTTTTTTTTTTTTTTGCCAGTGCTGGGGCTTGAACTGAGGGCCTAGATGCTATCCATGAACTTCTTGTGCTCAAGGTTAGCACTCTGCCACTTGAGATACAGTGCCACTTCTGGCTTTTGCTGAATAGTTTATTGGAGATAAGAGTCTCATGGTCTTTTCTGCCTGGGCTGGCTTCAAACTGTGATCCTTAGATCCTAGCTACTCAGCCTCAGGCGTGTGTGTGTGTGTGTGTGTGTGTGTATGTGTGTGTGTGTGTGTATGCATATATATATGCATATATAGAGAGAGAAGATAACTATATATATATATATAAGAAGATATATATATATATAGAAAAGACATATATATAGAGAGAGACAGAGACAGAATTCTCATTACTCATGAATTCTAGCTAAAGTCTATCTGGAAACCCATGATACACAGAATACAACCAATAGTTATATACAGATTAACAAAAAATTTGAGTTGGTAGTCATGCATGGTCCCCGCTGAAGTGCAAGGCGACATGATCCTGGTGTTACATTCTTAGTGACTAGAATGGGGGAGTGCAAGAAGCTGCAGCCCTGCAGCAGGTCGAGGAGAGAGGAGAAGTGAAGGCCTGTGTCTCTGCAGCAGGTGGAGGAGAGAGGAGAAGTGAAGACCTGTGTCTCTGCAGCAGGTGGAGGGGAGAGGAGAAGTGAAGGCCTGTGTCTCTGCAGCAGGTCGAGGGGAGAGGAGAAGTGAAGGCCTGTGTCTCTGCAGCAGGTCGAGGGGAGAGGAGAAGTGAAGGCCTGTGTCTGTTCCTCTTTTGTTGTTGTGGTTGCTAGTCCTGGTGTCTTCAAGCTTTTTTGCTCAAAGCTGGCACTCTACCACTTGAACCACAGCTCCACTTCCAGATTTTTGGTGGTTGAGTCTCATGGGCTTTCTTGACTGGGCTGCCTTCCAGCCATGATCCTCAGATCTCAGCCTCCTTGTAGCTAATATTTATTACATGTGTGAGTCACCAGCACCCAGTACATATTACTTTTATTTTTGTCACATAAATGAATGCATACTGGACATTCTTTTGTAGCCTGTTTAATGAGAGGCAGTTTATGTTATGCAGTTTATGCCTGTTTAACATTTTCTACTACTCTGAAATACTGTGATATTATATGATTGATTTATGATATCAGTATTTTTTATATCTTGGTGAACAAAATATAAGACAAAGGATAATAATTGTGATCATTTCATAGGGCATACTATGGAAGTATTAACTTTTTTGGCGGTCCTTCTAATACATCTGTGAAGACTTCCGTAAAACTAAAACAACTGGAAGAAGAGAATAAAGATGCCATGTTTGTGTTCATATCTGATGTCTGGTTGGACCAAGTAGAAGTACTAGAAAAACTTCACACAATGTTTTCTGGTAGGTTTTTTTCTTTCCTATTTGTCTTGTTTTGAATTGTAATGATGGCTAATGTCTAAAAGTAAATGCCTTCATGTATGGAGGCTGTTATTTTCTGCCACTCAGAAGGCTTCAATGTGAGGATTGCTTGAGCCTAGGAGTTAGAGATCAGCCCGGATAACACAGCAAGTTCCCAGGTCAAAATACCAACAAGAAAACCACTTAAATTATTTTTAAAGATAATTTTATTGTTACTACTAAACTGTTATTCAGAGGAGTTAGTTACCATTTGACAATTCAAGTACGACCTAATTTTTTTAATATATTTAAATTTATTTAAATTTTTTATTATCAAAGTGATGTATAGAGGGTTACAGTTACATGTCAGGTCATAAGTACATTTCTTGTTGAGCAGTATCACCCCTCCCCTTGCTCTCTCCCAGTTTTTCCCTCCCATCCCGAACTATAAGTTGTATAGTTCATTTCAGTGTCTAGTGAGTACCACTGCTACGGTTGTTTCATCCTTTGCCCTAAATTTTTTTGTTGGTTGTGGGTCTTGAACTTGGGGCCTTAGCCCTGTCCCTGAGATTTTTTTTTCAAAGCTAGTGTTCTACCACTTTGAGCCATAGCACCATTTTGCATTTTCTGGTGGTTAATTGGGCAAAAGAGTCTCACGAACTTTCCTGCCCGGGCTGGCTTTGAACAGTTATCCTTAGAGCTCAGCTTCCTGAGTAGTGAGGATTATAGGCATGTGCCACTAACACCTGGCAGTCCTAAATTATTATTATTTTGTTGTTGTTGTTGTTGGTCATGGGGCTTGACTCTGGACCTGGGCACTGACCCTCAGCTCTTCAGTTAAGGCAAGTACACTACCACTTGAGCCACCATGCCACTTCCGGTTTTCTGGTAGTTAACTTGAGTTTCACAGACATTTTTTTTGGGGGGGAGGGTCCGGTCGTGGGGCCTGAACTCTGGGCCTGGGCGCTGTCCTTCAGCTCTTCAGCTCAAGGCTAGCACTCTACAACTTGAGCCATAGTGCCACTTCTGGCTTTTTTTCTTTTTGCTTATGTGGTGCTGAGGAATTGAACCCAGGGCCTCAGGCATTCAAGGCAAGCGCTCTACCACTGAGCCACCTTCCCAGCCCCTTCATAGACATTTTTGCCCAGGCAGGCTTTGAACCATGAGCCTCTGATCTCAGCCTCCTGAGTAGCTAGGATTATAGGCATGAGCTACCGGAGCCCAGCTCCTAAATTATTTATTATTATTATTTTTTGTTGTTGTTGCTCATCATGGGTCTTGAACTCTGGTCTGGGGCTCTGTCCCTGAACTCTTTAGCTCAAGGCTAGGGCTCTATCACTTGAGCCACAACGCCACTTCCTCCTAAATTATTATTATTATTGGTGGTGGTGGTGGCGGTCATGGGTCTTGAACTCTGGGCCTGTGTGCTGTCCCTCAGCTCTTCAGCTCAGGCAAGCTCTCTACCACTTGAGCTACAGTGCCACTTCTGGTTTTCTAGAGGTTTATTGGAGATAAGAGTCTCATGAACATTCCTGCCCAGGCTGGCTTTGAACTGTGATCCTCAGATCTCAGTCTCCTGAGTAGCTAGGATTACAGTTATGAGCCACCGTCTCCCAGCTCTAAATTATTTTTAAATACTAAACATATTGAATCAAGAATGAGATAGTAGTCCTGGCCTATGATAAACATGTGAATATATGTGTGCATATTCATAAAAAATTGGAATTAGGCCTAAACTATACTTAGTGTTACTTAAAGAGTCTTTGGAATCTAACAAATTGATTAAACTTTAGGCATGTTACTTAACCTTTTTAAGTCCCAGATTGGACAGGTGTTCTGAGAATTAAGCCAAGACAGGGCTTTGCATATAGTAAGTGTTGAGTAAATGGCCATTATCTTTATTACTTTAATTAAAATAAGTTAGTAAGCTGGGTGGTGGTGGCTGTAATCTTAGCTACTCTGGGGTCTAAGATCTGAGGGTTGTGGTTCAAACATCTAGGGTAGAAAAGCATGTGAGACTTTTATCTTCAGTTACCTAGCAAAAAGGTGGAAGTGGAGCTGTGGCTCAAGTGGTAGTTCTCTAGCCTTGCATGGAAAAAGCCAAGTGAGAGTATAGGCCCTGAGTTCAAGCCCCAGTACCAGTATACAACAAACAAATCATTAAAATGGTTTCTTATTCCCTGGCACTCCAGCGAGGCTCAGTCTGTAATCCTATCTATTAAAGAGGCTGAAATTTGAGATTGCAGTTGGAAGCCAGCTTGGGCAGGAAAGTCTGAGACGCTTACCTACAATTACCACCATAAAGCTGTAAGTGAGCTAGGCGCTGGTGGCTCACACCTGTAATCCTAGCTACTGAGAAGGTTGAGATCTGAGGATCATGGTTCAAAGCCA